ATATAATAATAATATTATATTATTCCTCATTTATCTACTTAAACAAAACGTTGCTGAGTAGTTAAGGATTGTTATAAATCTATTAAATTAAATTTACAGAGTGGACCTAACGACCTCTTAGATGGTATAATACTATGCATAAACTGAGGAAGATTTCAACTTAAAATCACGTCTAATAATTCAATTATTCATTTTAAATTGGTTTTCAAAAATTGTCACTCTAATCAAATTCTTTAAACATTAATAGTACAGAAAAGACCAAATATGCATAAAAATATTAATAACACGACCTTGATGCTTTAAACCTTTCTATATTTAATTTTAAATCTTCCCAGAGTTGAATGATGCATACTCACCAAGGAAGAAAATAACCTGGAAATAACTGAGGCCATTTACAAGCAAATATCTTGATTGACAGAACTGCAGGCATCCAGAGCAATTTAAATCCTCCTGAATGTCACACTGAGCCCCTTTTTAGAGCAGCTGTCATAAGTTACAAAACTTAAAAAAGGTTTGGTCTCACAGCTCCCATCACCCACATCGCCAGATGCAAGTTATGCATAGTACCTGATTCTTGATCTACTCAAGGAAATAGGACAACTAGGTTGATCTTTGATCTTTAAGACAGGTACCTGTATTTCCATCTAAATGTTAAAGACTTTTGATCAATGGAATTCTAAGATTCGTACATTTTTTCTATCTAATGATACCTGTGAATTTGATAGCCAAAAATAAATGAATGTATTTTATAATTAATGATAAAGACCTTTAAATGGAATACCAGATATGTAACTGTCTTTTCTGTTTAAAGAACTTTGAACTTAATGGAATCTTACATTCTTTCATATTCTTAGGACCACACAACAGTTATAGATGTTTAAATGATCTCCAGTTGAGTTTTGGATATCCCTCTTGATTAAGCCAAGTCTGACTTGCTGTTACAATATGACATCATTCTTCTGAGAGTTTATGGGGAGGGGGCAGGAAGTTGAGAGAGTTCTCATCTGGTGGCCTCTGTTTTCTCTGTGCATTAGGATGTGAAGCTGCCTGTTAAAGGAGGTGGGTGTTATGTGGGGTGAGGGTGAGAAAAAAGTTTTAAGATAAACATGTTTGATAATGGGAGATCTGAGTAGATCCATGCTGCCTACTTTATAGTCTCATAAGTGTGTCACATTAAAGTCATTTAAAGTGGAGACAATACTCAAGATGAGATATATTTATAATTCATGTTGAACATTTGGTTTATATGGTTTTTATATTAAATGTGCACATTTAGTCATTTGAGTATTTGCCATTGACAATAAGTATTCTTTGTAGCTGATCACAAGGTCACAGCTCAATGTCAAAGGAGATTTATTAATAAAGCAGTTGAAATAGTCACTTATACTGCAAAAAGTTCTAGACTCGTTTAACATTTATTTCCATTTGCTAGTCAATTACCAGCTGTCAGATCATATTAAGTATTGTAAATTTGAGTCAGAAGCTGTCACCTCTAAGTGTATTAACTCTCCCTAATCACATAGCAAGTGATTTCTCCTGTGAAAGAATGATATTAATCACCAACTTACATCTGTCTTCATGATGGTATAAAATTGCCACTGGTTTCCATTGCCGAAGTGAAGTAAATCAATGTAGACACCAAAAATGAAAGCAGACAGTCATGAATCATGAGTATTTCCATTCAAGTTAACAAGCTTCTCATTGTTTCCAGACAGAAAAAAATGTCAGCCAACTTTCAAAGCTTTTTGCTTCACAGTGTGTAAAATGTAGTTTCTTATTATTATTATTACTAGTTAACAGTGCTGGAGTATTTAGTATGTGCCAGGCACTATGCTCAAAGCTTTATATGAATTATTTCTTTTAATTTTCACAATAACCCTATGAGGTTATTGGTTCTTTTACTTATGATTCTTATACTACCATACCTCACATTTTGTAATGAGTAAATGATGGCTTAAAAGACTTGAAACTTGTTGCCCAAAATGGCAGAACCTGGAGTCAAACCCAAGCAATTTATTCCATAACCTTTTCTCTTGACCAGTAGTCTACACTGATGGATGGTGTTTGATATTTACTAGGTGAATCAGTTAGGAATGCGTTTGGGTGCAAGTAAATAAAATCCTACATATAGCAGCTTACAAAACAGGAACTTATTTTTGTCTCACTTAATAGAAAGAATGGAGGTAGGCAGCTACTCACATTGATTTAGTAGCTCAGCAGTGCTAGGACCAGTGACTCTGTGATTCCCTGTATAATTTATCACGAAAGCAAAAACTTTCCCATTTATATTTCACTGGTCAAAACTGTTTCGCATGGCCACCCTTATCTGCAAAGGTGGAAGACAGTGGGGAGAAGGAAGTTGGGAATGACTGATGGACCAGCCTTGGGTCAAAAGTTATGGAATCTACAAACTCTGTAGGAATTTTTCACTTTCTCCTTAACTTCTTTCTTTGTTTTTTTTGGAGTGAAAGAGCTGTGATTCTTTAGCTCCTAATGTATTCTTGCCTCATTGTCTAGAATGTATTCCTAGATTATAAGGGAAAGCTGTGGTTTCACTAATTGAGTCAGGGCTCATTGGTTGCAAGTAACAGAAATTATTGCACACCTAAGAAAATAGATGAATTTCAGTCATTTATTCAACAAATAAATTTATTAAGCACTTATTATATGTCATGTACTCTTCTAGATTCTGAGGCTACATCAGTGAACAAAACGTTTAAAAACAGAGAGAGACAGACAGGCTGACTGACTATGCAGGAATCTCATGGAACGTAAAGATAGGAATGCAGCAGGGCCTTGAAGAGGGACAGAAACCAGGGACTGAGAAGCTATCAGGAATTTAAATGGCTTCTCTGAGCATATCTCCTTCATTCTGTTCACTGTGCTTTCTCTTCTTAGTCTGCATGGTAAACAGAATAGGGTCAACCTACATTGCCTGAGTTTTCATCTTCTATTCAAGCAACCAGCTCAAGCTGAACTAGAATCTCTCAGTCCCAATCCAAATACCTACACAAAAGAAGTTGAATCCGCAGAACCCAGGGACAGTGAGAGATATAGTTTTAGGGGTCATTATGAGTGGAGTAGACACCATTCAAGGTGTCTACCTCAAAAGGCTACCTGTTGCTGCTACCCATCTCCAAGCTTATTGATGCTTTTCTAGACACTTGCCTATCATCCATGCCAAAGCTCCCTCTTACCACTCCAGAGATTTGAAAGTTAATTCTTCCTTGAAGAGAACATTTGTTTACCTATGTAAAAATTGCCTGATTTTTGAATTTTTTCAAACCACTTTGTGCCCCAATGTACTGAATCTTTTCCCACTACAGACCTGGTCCCTATCTTCCAGACAATGGGAGATTTGGGTCTTGGTTACCATCAAACTCTCTTCTCACTTCAAGCCAAGCCCTCAGAAGACACCACCACTACTAATCAATTTGGTTCCAAAGTACACCTTGAAATGTGGTTGGTATATTCTTTTATGGCCCTTATAAACTATAAGCTAGTGAGATATGGTTGTTCATGATTTTTTTTTAAACTTTCTTTTTGTTTCAAACCAATGGGTGTTTTTCCATTCAGGGATAAACTGACTTGATGACCTTGTGGCTAATCTGTTTTTCTACAGGCTGTGGATTCCCCTCCACATGGAGGGGGATGGGCCGGCTGGGGCTCCTGGGGCAAATCTCTGCTCTCGTCAGCATCTGCCACAGTAGGTAAGCATTATGTGTTGCATTTGAATGGATAAAGTTCGGAAGCCTAATAGGATGTGACATTTTGATTATACCATGTACTGATAGAGTTTAACATTAGCCCATGAGATGATATGAGCAGTTCATTTTTAGTGCTTACTGTTCTAAGTGTTTCATGTATGTTAGTACATTTATTCCTCAAAATAACTCTATAGAGAGGTACTCTTATTTTCTCCTTTTTAGAGATAGGGAAGCTGAATCACAGAAAGGCTAAGACCTTATCCAAAATCAGGGGTAGCTGGGTTGAGATTTGAACCAAGTTGTATGGCTCTTAACCGCTATATTATATTGCCTCTTAAAATACAAGATTTGAGCTTTTATAGTATACTCTCAAAGCTTTGTGCTTATCATGCCACTTGAATGTTTTAAAATGTACAACTAACCTGCTCCCTAAAAGGATTAGGTATCTCAATAAAAGGCACTTCAACAGCAGGGCATTGAAATTCAAATAAAAAAATATATGGAGGTAGGAAGGATGTATATTATATATATACCAAGGCTAATAGAGTTACTGCAGTTGAGCATTGACCTTAACTCTGAGCTGCTTGGCTGCCAGTAGATTATCTATTTTTCATTGAATGATAAACCAAAACTTAGTTTATCTAGATAAATTTATTTTCCTGGTATTAAATTTTTGAAGAAATTTTCTATATTGGCTCTTATACAAGGAGCAAATATAATGGACAATGTCTTCATTAGTGCAGGTTTGTCATAATATTCTTCACGTTACCATTTCTTGTATCCATTCTTCATGAAAACTGAAGATATACCGTCAGCATGTCTAAGGTCATTTAGCAACGGCATTTCATCTTGAAGGGGGAGGATGAGGAGCAGGACAGGGGAAGCCACGGGTAACCTAGCTTTTAGATCATCTAACTCAGGTGTTCTCAAGGTATAGTCCATAGCCATGAGGATCTTGTGATAGGCCATGACTTGGTCCAATTCATTGTTACTTCTTAAGCCAGGAGGGATAGGAATGCCTGAAGGTCTTTTGCCACGGACCAATTTTGGACCATGATCACAAACAATTTAAGGACCAGACATCTAATTTGATAGCATTTAGACTGCCTGGAAGAATGGATACATTGCAGTCCCCTCATTCCATGTCTATGACATGTGATGAGAGCTCTGGCGGAAGTAGATAGTGGTCAAATAAATGTTGACCTCTCTGCTGACAGCCTGGAGAGCAGATTTTTCTGTTGCTAATTGAAGGGCCAAGTATGCCATGCACACTGCATATGCAGAGGGCAGAATTAACCAGATTAAAGTAGAGGAGCCTGTTTTGTTTGAGAGTGGGGACAAGCACCAGCAGGCAGCCTGCTTCCTAGGAAAACGTTTGAGCTTTTAGTGGTTCTGCAGTAGATCTTGCCACTGGCAGCACGTGGGAGTGGCATGCTTCCTGAACCAAAACCTCGAAGTGTAGAGTCTAAAAGTTTTTGAGATTGAAATAAATCATGGAAAAGTCAATAATATAGTCACAAAACTATACAGCTCTCCTCATGGTTTATGTCGTAAAACGGTAAAGTGTTCTGGGTGCTTTCAGTTATAAGGGTGTCCAGAACTGCCCTAGCTTATCATGAATTCAGTGCTTTAGAAGGTTCTGTTATAGATGAGGGGTTTATTTTCTCATTAATATTTTAAATATAAGTTGCCTCCACAGTAAATACAGAAATCAACTGCCCTGTGGGTGGCAGTTGTGGGTGTTTTTGAGCACACTTAAAGGCACAGCTGCCTGTGACTGCGCTGCCCCTGGTTGGTCTGTTTGCTACTGTTTCTCTCAGTCAGCAGCTGCGCCTCTTCATTTGACTTTGGGCTTCGCTGGACCCTTAAAATGTTTTCCATCTACCAACTGACAGCTTGCCCATTGAATTTACTATCTAGCATCTTCTTAGGTGTCCTGTTGTAATCTGACCTTTGCACATGTACAGCCTAGTGCAGCCTTGGTCCAGTGGACTGTGCTCCAAGGCCTCTAGGTTCTGTTACCTGCTTCAAGTGGAACCAGTAGGTGATGCTGGCTTTACTGCTTAGGAAGCAGGATGTAATCTCTGTGGCAGGTCCCACCCGTACTGGTAGGCACTCATTTTTTAACTTGATCTAAAGTCAATGTCTTAATCTATAGCCTGTACTTGTGTTTGGTGTTGCTCTTGAAGTTTCCCTGTGTCTAAGGCACCGTGAAGATGTTAAATGTTGTATCTTGTTAATGTCACAACCACTTAAGACCTCTGGTGGTTCTCACCTGGCTCTGTGCAGTAATTGACCCAGAAGAGCCTAGAGAGATAACTGCCCGTGGACCGGCATGATCACTGTGCCAGTCACTGTTGCCACTTTCCCTCTTAAGGTTGGTGGCAATATGGCTTCTGTGAGATCGTATGATATTTGCACATTGCCCCATAAAATATTAGAATGAAGTTCAGTACACCCTCTTATATTAGTTTCTATTGCTTTGTAACAAGTTACCACAATTTTAGGAGCTTAAAACAACATACACTGATTATCTCACAGTGTCTGTGAGGCAAGAGTTCGGGTACGGAATAGTTGCATTCTCTGCTTAGTGACTCACCAGGCTAAAATCAAGGTGTCAGCTAGCCGCATTCTCATCAGACATTCAGGATCATCTTTCAAGGTTATTCAAGTTATTGGCAGAATTCAATTCTTTGCAGTTGTAGGGCTGACACCCCTGTCTTCTTGCTAGTTATTGGCCAGGGGTCACTCTCAGCTCCTAGAGGCTGCCCGCAGGTCCTTATTCAAAGCCAGTAGAATAATCTCTCCCATGCTTCAAATCTCTCCCTCTAGGAAGGGTCCAGTCCCTTTTAAAGGCTCACCTGATTTGTTCAGGCCCATCCAGGGTGATCTCCCTTTTAATTAACTCAAATTCAACTGATCAAGGACCTTAACTACATCTGATAAATCCCCTCACTTTTGCCATATAACGTAACCTAATCATGGGAGTGAAATCCTATCATATTCACAATCCTGCCCACACTCACAGGGGAGGGATTACACAGGGTGTGTACACCAGGGGGCAAGAAGCATGGGGGCCCTCTCTCAATACTACCTACCACACTTCCCTTTTCTGTTTGAAATCCTCATCAGTTACACCACCATTCCAGAAACTTTGTAATTTTTATGGCTCTGGTTACATGCTGGAATTTTGAAAAGCATTTGAATGTTGGCATTTTTCCCTTGTTTGCACCAACAATGGCCAAAGGGCACAGGAGGGAGATTAAAGAGGTTTTGAAATGTTGATACTCATTCTAAGAATCACTCTGGACAAATTGGAGCTATATTTTGAAAAGTAGAGACTAAACTTGTTTATCACCACTGGTCATCACAACCCCAATGAATGTAATAGCCATATAACTGAATGTCATCTCTAAGTTGCTCCTAAGGCATATTTTGGGGATTTCTAGTCAAGACGTGCTGTGACTTTATATAGTAATGGTAGCTAAAATCATAGCAATATATATTAAATATATATAAAACTAGATAAATATCCTTGTGGACCTGATAGAAGACTAAAACTTATAGCATAAAGGGTGGCTGAAGTCATGGGTTCCAAGGCTGGAAACAGGCATTGGTGGTGATCGGGACTTTGACTCCCAAAAGATAATAGGGATCACAGTGTCCCACAAATGGAAAGATGCCATAGCCAGGCCCACAGCTTGAAACAGAGGGTTGGAATAGGGTTCAACCATCTGTGAACAGAGGCTTTAAACAGTTTGGGCGCCATCCTGGATTGTGGTCTATATTGAACTGCTTCCTTGGGATTGAGAGAGGGAAGAGAGGCACATCTCCATGATGTCCAGGCATAATAGCCACCCAGGGCTTTGCAGCTTTAGCAATTTATTACCACAGGGCAAAGAAACTTATTGGAAAACAGAGCGCTCACAGCAGAGACGAGGCTTTGAAGGTTTATAAATTGCCTGTGGAAAGTAGAGAAAGAGAATAACCACATATTCCGTTGCAATTGATTCCCACTCAGAAACCTCATGCTACCCCCATGGTAATTCCAGTTGCAGACAGGAGTGCCAAACATATAGTCTGTAACAAAACGCAGCACTGTCAATTGGGCAACAGAAGTAGAAGTACGTCTTACAGTTGTTGAAAAACTGCAGTCACAGTAGTTAGAACTGTTTAGAGCTGGCAGGAGAATAATTGGAGAATGGAAACATTTGGAAGGTGGTTCTCTCTTGAAAAGAGCACTGTACCAGGAGTCGTAAGACCTGAGACCTGGTCCTGGCTGCTACTAATTTGTGATCACAAAGGACTGTCACTAACTAGCTACACCATGCACTTAACCTTTCTGAGACTCAGCTTCCTTATTTGGAAAAGTGTGGGTGGGGGAACTTGAGAAATTCTAGGATTCCTTCCAACTTCCGGAATATGATGATTCCATAGTCTGTGGCTATATATAGAAGGAGAAAGATATTTGTAACCACTGTGCTAAGTGGAAAAATACAGAAAATTGATTGACTTTTTGCCACTCTGTATTTTTATATTTTGTCTTTTGCCTCACTACTTTGACCCCAGGGTTAACGGAAAATGAGAAAAAGCAAACTTCCTAATGCTTGTATAAAATCAAACATTTCTCAGCCAACAATTATTTTTGGAGAGGGCATAACTCTTGCATTAGTTGCATCCACATATGCTATCATCACATTCTAAGAAGACTTGATCACCTACAACCCATGCCTTTGGACAAGTTCATAAAATGCAATTAAAAAAAAAAAACAAGGCCAACATGTTCAGTTTGTGAAATTCTATCCAAAAGAGTGTTTTAGTTGAGAATGCTAAGAGGCATCCTTCAACAGAGATGGTTAAAATCATTTCCTATAATAAAGGATACAGCATCTCGAAATTTCTTAAACTGAAGGGCTACTTTCAAAATCACAGCTCCTTGAACTAAAAAATGGAGTCTTTAACTAAAGACTTAAAATCTGCTTGAAAGAAAGGTTTGAGCATTG